TAGAGCTGGATGAACACAGCAGGCCAAGCAGCATCTGAGGAGCAGAAGGGTCTCGACCCAAAACGTCAGCTTTCCTGCTCCTCTGATGCTGCTTGGCCTGCTGTGTTCATCCAGCTCTACACCTTGTTATCTCAGATTCTCCAGCATCGGCAGTTCCTACCACCTCTATTTAACACTCAGCTTTCTCTTTTCAAGTCTCTTTGTCCTTTCCTGTTAGTTATAGCATCACAGTTCCAGTATCATCCTTGTTAATCTTCCTTGCACCCTCTCTAATCCTTCTATTTCCTTACTACAATCCACAGACCTGAATTGTACACTGTCATCCAAATGTAACTGAACCAAGATTCAATAGCTAACCTTTTTATGTGGCAACTCTATCTCTGCAGAAATAAACTTCAATGCTTGGTTTCCTTTCAGTTTGGCTTTATTGATGTGTCACTAAAATGTCTAGCAATATGTGTGTTTGTACTTGTAATTTTTTTCAGCAGCCACATTTTCCAGAAAATTCAATCACTTAAAGGAGAAACGAATGCAAATTGCCGATTTAGGTACGTTTTCGGCTTTGTGCTGCTTGCACACTTTACTGAAATCACCACTCCTTTTGCTATTGTTCAGAGATAGAAAGGAAGAACAAATCTTCCATTGAACAGATAGGTGTCACTTTTGTTGGTCATGAGACACTTGGGACAGTTGTTTGGATGTGTCTTTTAACTAGTTTCAAAGTGATTGTGAGAATATTAAAAGGAAGATCTGACAAGAAGACAATCTATTCAGTGTTCCAAACAAAAGGTGAAACTGAATGGTACACAGAATAAAAGCCCCATATATGTTCTTTTACAATTTCCTGTTCAAAGAAATGTAATATTCAGAATATACTGCTGCCTGGATTGATTTCAAATACGTCACTGACAGACAATCTAAAGCGTCATGAAAATCTGAAAAAGGATCACTGGACTTGAAATGTTAATTCTGTTTTCCCTCCACAGATGCTGCCAGACCTGCTGAATTTCCCCAGCAATTTCAGTTTTTATTTCAGATTTCCAGCATCTGCAGTTCTTTGCTTCAAATCAAGATAATTGTTGTCCCAACTATTGTGACAGGGCATAATTTCTAGTAAGAATGAACTCCAAAGTCATCTTAAAAGAGGAAACTGCCTTTTTTGCACCAAGTGCTCCACCCAAAAATGGCTTTATTTAATAGAGCATCCCAGAAAAATACACTCTTTATTAGGAGGAAGAACAGGAGGGTTGGTAACCTTTTGCTGCCTGTTGTCATTTTACACCTCAGCAATAAGTTAGTATGCAGTGCAATAAATGGGTCTAAAGAGTAGACTTATAGGTCGAGATGCTATGGGATGTTTTTGCTATTTATTTGCACTCTAATTAGCAGTTGTTTAGGCATACAGGGAGTGAAATTTCTTATATCTATTAGATTAAAAAGTACTCAGTGCAAATCAGGAATGCATTTTATAATATGCCTAATTTTCTTTTCCATGATTAATTAAAAACCTGAATGGATCAGTAACATCGTTCAGAGAAAAGGAATGACCAGCTATATCTGGTTTTCCCTGTAAGTGACTCTAGTCCTAAAGCAACCTAGATGCATCTTAAATGATCTTTGAACTGCCTGGGCAAGCTAGTAAGTAATATCAAACGTAAACATTGCTAAGTGGAGACAAGATGTCAGAGCTTTCTATCTCATCAAGACTAGGAAACAAGAAACAGATTTGAATAAAAGGAGATAACACAGTATGGACCTGAAGAAGGGTCCCAACCCGAAACGTCAACTTTCCTGCTCCTCTGATGCTGCCTGGCCTGCTGTGTTCCTCCAGCTCTACACTGTGTTATTTCTGACTCCAGCATCTGCAGTTCTTACTATCTTTGAATAAAAGGACGCCATTGTATACAGCATGAGAAGAGGATACTGATTGGTTGGGCCATCATTGGCATAGCGGCATAGCCAGAACAGCTAACTGTCAGTCTTAATTCTCAGACCAGGTTTGTAGATTCTGATTGGTCAGGGTTTTGTCATGCAGAAGTAGCAAGGACTGATTGTCTCAACGACCACTTTTTGAATGAAATAGATACAATGCACTTCCAAATTTGTTTTGACTACATAAAATAGGGTCCCCCTCCTTCTCTCCCTGCTCCCCACACCCCCTTCACTTTCTTCACGTATGCATTGCCTTATCGGGCTTTGCTTGTTAATGGTTCACTTGCCACATGGGTATTTTTCCTGGTGGTGGAAAATAAAGTTCTTACACAATGGTGTCTTTTACTGAGAACAACTGCACACACAACCACAACAAAAAAACAGGTGCCCTCTCCTTCTCTCCATATACCCCCCTTCACCTTTTGACGTAAGCATTGTCCTAATCCGGCTTTGCTTGTTAATATTTCACTAGCCGCATAAGTGTTTTCCTGGTGGTGGTAAATGTAGAATAATGTCTTTGCACAAAAGGAAATAAAACAGGATCCCATGTATTTACACATGCAGTTCTTAGCAAAGGCATTACATTGTGAGCTTGACTGATGAAGTTAAATTGGTTTCCAGTGTAATTTGTAGCAAACTGTGGATTATTTAAAAATTATTTCCAATCATAAAACCACATCTACTGGTGGATGTACTTTTCTGGGATTTGCAAGCATAGGCTGGTTGTGCATGGTGACCATGCTTCCCAATGCAACTGGTCAACAGAGTATGTTGTTTGATACAGTAAGACTTACGGTCTACAAATCTGGCATCATGGTGATGGTGAAACTCATATTTAAGAATAGTCATTTATGTGGTAGGCAAATGCTTAGATGATAGCATCCTGTTAGTGGAGAAAACCACTTGTGGGTTTACTGTATTGTAGCAGTGTGAGACAACCAGCTTCAACTATTCAAATTTTTGAGACACTTTCCCCAGTCATGGTAATTGGAGGTAAATTAGGCACTGCTCAGGGCCAGAAGTGGTTGACATGGGCCTTTTCAAAGTTTTTGCACTATACAGCAAATGATGATTTCATCAGTGTGTCTGTTCTTACACAAGTCAGTTTTGATATGTCGTCAGGGTCAACTTTACATAGTAGGGAACTGATTGAGGCCTTATTCATGAGGTTACCAACCAGATTGATCATTTGGGTTTGTAAGAATCCTGAGCTGTATATTGACCAGTAAACAAAGGCTTTTAGTAAGTGACTGTTGAGAACCCATTGAGAGAGTTCTCAACGAATGTGTCGAAGAAAAGGAACTCATTTAATTTCTCCACTTCAACAGTAAATTTGAGTGCAGGACAGAGCTTATTAAGTTCAGTAAAGAAATTCTTTAATGTAGCTGCAGATTTAAATATCAACATATTGGAAATAAGAAAGGCATTGGAGGTTAGTGGGCCATCAAAAATATGTTTCTGTTGGTAACCAACAATATTACAAAAGCTGATCCTAGGGTGGATCCCTTGGCAATACCATCTATTTGGGGTGTACACAGTTGAATTGAAACTGAACTCAAGCACATGAGTTGCTAAGTTCATGAGTTTGATGAACACAGATTCAGACACTGGTGGGACAACTAGATTGCAATAATATCGTGGCATAGTTCAAATATCAATGGCATCTTTGAGTGATGTTGGTAAATAAGCTAGCAGAATTGCACATGGACATATTATTGCTCTTAGTATGTAGGTCTCAGTGAAGATAAATCAGGTTTGCAGTTTGATGTATTTACAACTGCCAGAACCAAATTAATAAACACACAGGATCCTGTTTTATGTGAACTTGTACATCCATTGCACCATTTTCATAAAGAAAGGATCATGCAGATAACAAATCGCTGTTGAATCCCCCATGGCAACACCCTTGACCAATCAGAATCTACCTTCCTGATCTGATAACAAAGATTGACAGTTAACTGCTCCTCCATGCCAATGATGACCAACCAGTCAGCACCCTCTTCTCATGCAGAATAAAATAGCGTTCCTTTATTCAAGTCTGTTCGTTGAGTTCTAGTTCAGATTAGAGCAAGATAAAAACAAAATTCAACTTCCTATCTCCATTTAGCAATAGTTAAGCTTTGTATTCCCAAACACTGTAAAATTGTACTGAAGCTATTAAGGAAGATCTCCTATTCTCAGGATGGCTTAGATTGAGCACCTTAATGCCAACCATGCCAGCAATATGCAACTCTTGAGAATTATTAAAATGTTAGTTCTTGGTTAACAGATCAAGAAATGTTCCTCATAATGCCAATTTGTGTTTCTTTCCTCTTTTACAAGGCCTCATAACTCAAAACCTTTCAAAATTTAATTGTTAAGAAGATGCCTAATTGGGGAACCCACTCCAGACTTCATTATTACACAAATTGCTCATTTACATTCAATAAATTTGGTTCAAAAATCTAACCCAACCCTGGGGCATGACAGCTCAGTGGTTACCACTGCTGCCTCACAGCACCAGAGACTCAGGTCTGATTCCACCCTCAGGCAACTGTCCGTGTGGAGTTTGCAGATTCTCCCTGCATCTGATTGCATTTCCTCCAGGTGCTCCAGTTTCCTCCCATAGTACAAAGATGCGTGGATTAGGAGGACTGGCCATGCTAAATTGCCTCATAGGGTCCAGGGATAGGCAGGCTAGGTGGATTAGCCATGGGAAGTGCATGGTTACAGGGTAGGGTGTGGGGATGGGTCTGGGAGGAATGCCCTTCGGACGGTTGGTGTGGACTCGATGGACCAAATGGCCTGCTTCTGCACTGTAGTGATTCTGTGAATGATGTATGTCCCATTATAGAAAATAAATTTTGAACCCAATTTTTGTTGCTTAGCGCATCTTATTCATTTGTATGTAAAGATTTTAAACACTTTTGTGTGGTAGGTTCCTGAGCAATGTAATTTGGTATTTGGTGCAATGAGGGAAACAAGGCAACTGGAATGTGAATGAACAAGACAAGCAATAAGCTGTCTCTTCAATCAATCTAAAAGCATTGTAAACCAGAGTGACTGAATTCACTGTCAAATCAGTGACAATAAAAAAGACAATGAGAGGGAAAGGCAGATTGAATTAAGAGAGAAGAAAGAATTAGTAAAATAGAATAAAATTTACAGTTTTAAACTATTTAAAGTTTGATATTCATGGTTTAAAAAAAATGAGACACCGGAACTGGATTAGTTTATTTTCAGAACCAGAAAAGTTGATTGACAGTAATCAATTTATCACGTCATAATAAAGAACAAGATACTTAGCCTTGAACAGACAGGACTTAATCTTTAGTGATGTGTTTAGTTTCTATCTACTGTGCAAATGCAGCACATTTACAGCATTTAATGTGCATCAAAGCTGAGGGAGACAATGAAGCCAACAGTGGAGTGGCACCACTCAGACAGTGACCTTTGAACATTTAAATTCATCACAGATCTGTTCCTCTACTGAAGTTGCATAATTTGTTAATCAATAATGGGCAACAATTAATAATGAAAACTATTATCAACACCTTTAAATTGAAAACAAAATCTGGGACAATGTTCCAAACGCTTAAATGAATCCACAACCTTTATTTAAGTTTTCTGATAACAATTTCCAATCTTATTAGTTTCCCATTGTTGGCAGCTCACATGTTATGACAACTGACTTGTTTTCTACACACGTTTGTTTCTGCATATTTCATATTTTTTAAATGAAATAAAAATTGCTTGAGATCATAATTGAAAATGAAAGTACATAAAGTATTCAACATTCTTGGTTTCAGAACGAAACAGAGGATTGTAAAATAAATTCTGCTCTGCAATACAGTACACTAAAAGGTGACATCTCAATTGAGGCTCAGCTTATCCTCTTCATATCAGCTTTTACTCCATCAGTTACGCCATCAGATTAATATGTGTGTATTTGTGACGTCAGTATCCTATTCATGGATCAATAAAAGGTGGATTCAGAGTGGCAAAGACCCAGAACCGCGTAGATAGAAAGACAGAAGCATTGACGAGAGCTAGTTAGGGCTCTCGTCTTTCAGTTGGCGAATGTTCCCCTTTGCCTCCACATAGTGGTAAGTACCTGGTAGTTTTATTTCTCAACAATGCTGTACATACTGTCAAATATAGAACACATTTCACATAATTAGGATGAGTTTTAAGATATATGCAATGAATAAAATATCCAGTGGGAAATTTTAAGAATATTTAAGTTGGTTGAGTCAATATTGATGTAAAATGTTACAGGCAGATCTTTGAACTAATTAAAATTAGTAGTTGCACAGAAAACTTCAGGGACTATTATTCACTACAGAAATATTGTCTATTTGAATATCAAGCTTGACATTCAAATGTTGCTTATCTGTACAATTAACAACTTACCAGGCTTCTCTTAGAACAAATTCGAAGAAATAAGTTTATCTTTCAAAATATCTATACTTAAAGGAGTGTAATCTTAACCGGCTTATACTCATGTTGGGCATCTTAGTATCAAATTTTGTCAAACTCCACTCTGTCTAAAAATGCCTATTTATAAAATGTGCTCTAATAATCAGGAAGCTGTATTTAGTTTTTTCTTAGCCTTGTTGGTTTGATACTGTGCACTTTTAACATCAAGATCATTGTGTAAAATTCTTATAATTATTTCACATGAGGAAATGGCAGCAATGTTTTCCTTTATGGAGCTAACGCAGTGGGACAGGAAATAATGATGTCAGCATGTCAAATATTTGTATCAAGGCTTTGTCTTCCTATTAGTACCTTTTGTTGATTGATTCTTCCAAAGTATAGCACTGCTGAACTTCCTCAGTGTGTATTGAAACGAGTTAAGTTTTTTTGGGGACTGATTAGTCTTTTGTACATTATATCACATCCCAGCCTATACTCAACAGGCTCCTGTTGGGTAAGCGACTGGTCCTATGAAGCAAATTATGATCTTAAATGGATTTGGTAAAGTATACTGAATTAATTATGCATTTAAACCACTCATTTTTTTCACAACCAGTTTGTTGTTACACAGAAACTTACTAAAAAAGCACATTGAATGCATTGGTCACATATATTCAAAGGTTACTGGAGTACAAACATGAAGGTCCCACAACTTGAAAATAGGATCTCAACCTAAGTTAAACATGCTTAGGAGAAGAGCTTAAATATTTGTGAAAGTTGCAGAAGTGAAGGAAAATAAGTAAAGTATTACTATTCTTATGGATGATGGGGACCTTTAAGAGAGGTGCATCTGACCTGTATTCATTTGAAATGATCACTTGACGAATGTAGCTACTGAAGAACAGGTGGCTGTGTGTCAGGGATTTGTGTAAATAAGCCTCTTACTCATCTGTACTCCTGTATCAGCAAAAACTTAACTGAGCTAATTAATGAAAATGCAGCATTAGTACATTAGGAGTAATTTAACCTTGAAACCTAATTTCAGGTCATGCTTTGGTTCAAAAGGAGTTTGCTTTTCCAATGAATTTGCATGAAAATAGTTTTGAATTCATTGACAACTTGATTCTTAATTCTTTTCCTTACAGTCTTCCTATCAGTAAATAGTTAATCAAAATGATTGGTATGGTGCAGTTACCAAATCGCTCACAAAGACAAATGCAGCAGGAAAAACAAACATGCGGACAAAAACCCAAAAGGGAACTTGATAAAAACATCTGGAAACTGTGTGATTGTAACAAAAAATCTTATTGCTTGACGTAGCCTTCCAAATCTAGACAAAATATTGATTCAGTCATCCAGTTCCAATAACTCTGAATTGCACGGTCTGATTCAGGTGAATAGTTGGTCTGGTTTGGTTATAAATGTGTACACTAATGGGTGTTATGTAGAGTTGAAACATGATTGAAGTTAAGGCCATTAAAAGTCGTCAGTAAAATGATTCACTTTTCAGCACCAAACACAGAATCATAGCTCAGCTTTGTGTCTGAACATGTGGCTAATTTCCTATTCAGATTGGAATGTTTTGATTACTTTATAGGAAATTTTCACCAATCATAGAAACTTAGACATACAGCACAGAAATAGGCCATTTGCTTCAGCATACACGCACAGACATTTTAATAAAAAATAATGCATAGTCCCAACTAAATGGAGCATTCTTTAAATTAGTTCTGAAAATCACAAAAATCTAGCATTACATTGTTTTTCTCACCTGTTATGTATAGTTACTTGTGTGATAGGTTATTTGCAGCCAATTTATGTAGTCAGGGTTATCATCCCTAGAATCCTAGATCACGCTATTTTTATTTCATTAGCAGCTATTTATTTAAATATACATTGAAAGGAAAGGAAAGAAAGAGGAAAGGGTTAATTCTTTCAAACTTAAATCCTTTGCCATCTCCCTCTTCTTGCTGCACTCGAGTCTTCACAATCCTATTACAAGTAGAACTGTTGAAAACCAATCCCATTCTACATGCCCTTGCGGCTCATTCTGAGGATTAAGGTTAGACTAAGCAGGGTTGCATTGACCCTGATAATCTAGGAGGTGAAGTAACACATCGCCATATTTACAACATTACATTAACTGGCAAAGGTTTTGTCTTTTTTGAAATATAGTACCCTAGTGAAGTGTGGCACAACAACAACAACTATGGCAGCAAACCCCCTGGAAATTCAACCAAACTTGAAAGCACAAGAGATGGCTCTCACTTTAGAACCACCGAAACATTTGGGAGAAATTAAATCAGCCACAAGAGTAACTGGAGGACCAGCAACTCCTAGGAAAGGACCACCAAAGTTCAAACAAAGGCAAACAAGACAGTTTAAGAGCAAGCCGCCAAAAAAAGGAGTACAAGGGTAAGAGGAAAAATAATTGCACAATCAATTTAATTCAAAGGGGTGTAGCTAAGTAAAATCATTGGGTGAAAGTAGACAGGTGAAATTGAAGCCAAACTGAGTTACGATATTGTTGGATGGATAAAAATATGGACTATGCTGCCAAACAATTATTTCATTTTTTTCACATGAAAGAACAGCCCTCCAACATTTTCGGAATCAGCAACATTAATTGACAGTCATGACTGGTGATTTTGAAAGGTCTGATGGGATGTTCAATTCATATCTAATCCAATGACCTTTCAATTATGACCATGGACTGCCCAAATTCCCAACTAGCTGCTTTGACATTGGCAGTGGTGTTTCAACATGAATGCACTGAAAGAGAAAGGAGCTAATTAAATCAAAATGCTGAAAACAATGTTTAATTTGGTCAGTATTCCCTCAACAGAACTTTCCATACTTATGTTACTTCCAGCAGAGTAAAGGTGGACTTGAATGTACAACACCATACTGTGGAATGGTATGATGCAAGTTGAGGCTTGCAATTTCTTTATACAAAACATAAATTATGTTTATTAATAATAAAATGCAGCATCAACCAAGTTGGATATCTAGTCTCTACTCAAAATGATGCTGGAGGATGGTGACATATTACACATTTCACCGTATTTATTTGTTAAATACAAGTGACAACAAATCATTGAATTCAACTCAGATAGTTCATCTTAACTGAACCAGCTAATCAGCTAACATGGTTTCTCTCGACAGCGAAACTGCATTACAGCGAGAGAAATATCAACCAAGGTTCTCAATCCTGATCACTACCCAATCAATCAAAGTTCAAGTGTGTGGACATTGGACAAGGACAGAATCAATTGCAACTATGATGCTGCCACAGTCAAATAGCCTTTTAAAACTTTGATATCTGTAGACATAAGGCAGATTGTGACCTATAGGATGATTTAATATGAGTTGCTAAATATTGTTTCTGCCTCTCCCACAGGTTTGGTGATGACATTCCTGGAATGGAAGGATTAGGCACAGGTATGATTTCTTATTCAAAATTGCTGTTCTTCATTTTTCTGGCCTCATGTTGCGCATTATTATTGAAAAAGCAACTTTTCATAGCATTTGATTTGATTTGATTTATTATTGTCACATGTACCTAAGTACAGTGAAAAGTCTTGTTTTGTGTGCAGTACAGGCAGATCATACCATACAGAGATGATAGGGTGATTGAACAGAGCGAGGAATACAAAGTTACAGCTGCAGAGAAGGTGCACAAAAAGCAAGATCAATATTAGATTTGAAATTTGAGAGGTCCATTTAGAAGTCTAATAACAGTGGGCATAGAATGCTATTCAGGATGGTCATTGACACAGTTTTATTGCATTCTCACTGTAACAACATTATGCCAATGTAACAGTTTAAATTGGCATCAAATGGAAATAGCAAAAAAGACGTTATGTCAGGAAAGACTTTCACGATATGGAACTTGTGTTAGCCAACCTTTCAATAATTCCATTCATCACAACCTCTGTCAATTATTAGTGCTCTTTATTTGAGTTGCTGTGACCTTGTTAGTCAATAACATTAGGTTGAAAATGTTCAATGATAACTATTTTCCTGCAAACTAACTAGTGATCATTACCGGTATATCTTGTAAAGTAATGCCTCTGTGACATTTTGATACCACTTTGACAGTTATCCAAATAAACTTAACCAAATTTTCCATATCAAGCTACTAATACAGTCATGTAATACATGTTTGTATCATCCAAGGATATTATTTATTATGTCAGAAATTATAATTAACATGTACCTTGCAAGAATCACACTGAATGGTGACAGAGGAGTCCCTTGTTCTGACTTATGCCATTTTCTTGCCTAGAAGAGATATCAATTGTCTACATGGGTATAAAGGCTGAAGAAAATAAAGAGCTACGCACTTAAATAATGGAGTTAACACAGTGTCAACTGTACTATTGATGCTATTGTCCTTCTTTGGTTTACAGATATCACTGTCATATGCCCCTGGGAGGCCTTCAATCATCTGGAACTACATGAACTAGCACAATATGGTATCATCTGAAGTGGCGACGGAACTCTGCATTTTTACTGTGCTCCTCGGAAGACTTTCCAACACCACCCTGCCCTCTCCCTTCTATTTCACCAGTGGCTTCAAAAGCAGAAAAGAGGCCAAGCCTCAAGGTTGCAGACACACCTGCAAAGAAAAGCATAATAGTAAAAACAAACTCTCCTTTCCAGACTCACATTTCCTTTGAACTCATACTATGTTTAAAACATGAAGGTGTTTTCCTGAAATGCATCACGCAGAATTCTTGTCTCTTGTTATTACCAAAGCTGATCATTTTTCAACTGACCTTCTTTCATCCAGTTTCCAACTATGTTAGCTAAAAACTCTTTGTATCATGGACATATTAACAAGAACTATTATGCTTTTTTAAAATGCACCTCTGTGGAAACATCATGATGGCGCATATGCAAATCCATTCTGATTATTGTGATTCTTTAAGTATTGAACTTTGTAGGAGAACTATGTATGTTTGTGATTCTGTGAATGTCCAAGGTGGAATTCAGAAATCCCCAAAATCGCTAACACGTACCTCCTTCTGAATGAGAGAGTGACCCAAAACAGCACTGCATTACTATTAGTATCCATCAGTCAAATCACATTTTCTCTATGACTTGTTGCAATATTTAAGTTTTAAGTAGTTAAATCCTTGAACTTTGTCCACCCCTCTCCCCAAAGTGAACTACTCAGGGACTCTTCGAAATTTAAGTTTGTTAAAAACTTGTAATAAGAGATTGCTAGTGATCTGTGTAATGTGTGGATGAATTATTTTATTATTAAGTGATTGCCCTTATTTAAGTTACTCACATTCATTCACCTACCTGTTCTCAATAATTCATTCATATTGCTTGTTTTTTCCATTGTTACTCATGAACATTTTCATTTTATCCTCATTGATTGCAAATCAAATGTTATCTTTTATATCTAATTTTTTATAACTTGTACCAAATTGTTCCATTTTTATATCTTTGTCGATTGTTCTGTTTGGTTTTAGCTTATTGAATTCAAAATCCTCCTTGATCACTTCTGTAATATGGCAGTTAAACCTTTTCCTCATCTTGTTAGATGTCGCTTCTTCTTTTCTGAATTACAACCTCAGAAATTTACTTTATCTTGTGTAAATTTATTGCTGTAAAGCTACTGTCATCTATGCAAAGAGAAAGTTCCAATTTCCACTTTTCAAAGTTTGCATGTTTGATGTTATTTCTTCAAACGTTTATTATTATCATTTACTTTGTTTTATTTATTGACTATAAATTTCTGCTATATCTTCCATTTCTAACCTCATCCTGCTTTGACTTTCATTTTGGATTTCACTTTTGAATGAACTTTTCCTTACAATTTTAATTTCAAGTTTTTTTTATAAATTTATCATTTAAAAAATACTAAGACCAACACATTTCATCATTTCTTCATTCACTTTGTTGTGTCTTATTTCTGTTCAGTTTTGGTGTTTTCTATCTGTCTCTAATTCTGGGCTAAAATCTACAGAAGGAGGTATGTTCAGGAAAGATCAACAATGCTGCGTGGGGATTCTTAACAAAAACCTTGACGGGTTGTAGCGTGTTTAAACTGAAATGTTGTCATCTGGAGATTGGATTGTTCTCTCATAAATCCAATAAAGCTTGAAAAAAAAAAGGAATATACGTGCAACTTGCTCTTCTCTTTTGGATTTGTTTTAAATCTCAACATTTATTTTAAAGTTCGCATCCTTCTCACAACCTTGTGCTGTCCAGCCAAAAGACAGAATTGTCTAATCCAGGGACAAGCCTTCAGCACCTTGGTCCTGCCTTTATTTGTTTAAGCCACAAAGTATTGGCGGGGATCATGGGCTAAAGAGATTCAAAGGTTTCCTGCTCAGTCTACCAAAGAATGTCCTTTTTGCTGAATTGGAAAGGAATATACAGTTCACTGTATTTGATGGGGACAAAGCAAGATTACTTGATTGAGATCATAAAGATTTTTCAGCCCAACCAGAAGTAATTGAATTATCTTTATTGTCACTTGTACTTACATGAGTACAGTGAAAATTTTGCAAGTCGCCACATATGGCACCATCTTCGGCACAAAGGTACCTAGGTACAGATTCGTCAGTACAAGTTTTTAGGGAAAAAAAATTAGAAAAATAAAGAAATAAAAGTCCAGCCTTACAGACCTTCAAAAGGACAAAATCATAGTAATAAATTAGAAAGACTAAAGAAATAACAAGTTCAGAATAATAGTGCTTCCATGACAGTATACAAAAAAAAATTAAAAAGAGAACTTAAGACAAAGTCTATTTGCATATCTGTTCCATGGGTTGCTAATTGTGAAAAAGGATTATTTGATGTTATGAAGGGTGGCATGATGGCTCAGTGGTTAGCACTGCTGCCTCACAGCGTCAGGGAGCCGCATTCAATTCCACCCTCGGGTGACTGTCTGTGTGGAGTTTGCACATTCTACCTGTGTCTGCGTGGGTGTGCTCCAGTTTCCTCCCACAGTCCAAAGATGTGCAGGCTAGGTGGATTGGCCATGCTAAATTGCCTGTAGTGTTCAGTGATGTGTAGATTAGGTTGGTTGGGTCTGGGTGGGATGCTCTGTGGGTTGGTGTGGACTTGTTGGGCCAAAGGGCCTGTTTCCACACTGTAGAGGTTCTATGATTTGCCTTTCACTGATAAGTAACCTCTGCCTTTTTGTTGTGGGGAGAACAATATGGACTATGGGCAGAATTTGGCCTTGCGTGTAGGAAGCAGGAATAAATCTTGCTGGAAAGTGTTTTGTTTTGACTTTTAACTCAGACATGGCATAAGTGTGTGATTGTTCTGGGTTTCCCTGACCTATTGGAGTGAAAGGACATGAAGATGACTC